ACTACCCATGTAGAACCACCCAAAGTAAGGAGATCCCCAAAGCCCATGTGCTGGCAAGAAGGGAAGCCCCCGGAACTCCCATATATTGATGCTGGGAGTGGCAAATTGCACAAACGCTTTGGAGAGCAGTCCAAAAATTGATGAGGAAGCTCTCCACCCACTAGACACTCAATTGACAGCTGCATTCTCTACAAAGACATTTTCCTAACACCTGCAGCAGCTTTCCTCCTAAACAGTCAGAACTGTGTAAGGCCACAAGTCTAAACGTCTAAACCAAACTGACTCCATGACAGGCTTTAAGTTTCTGCTCTAAACTAGAAGGCCTGAGTTTCAGCTTCCCCGAAACTATCAGGCAGTGACACATTGCCCAAGGCAGGAGAAACCACCCTTGCAACACCCAGTCAGGAAAGGCCAGCGACCACCCTCCACATTGTTAAGGGAGAGGCCTGGAGATAGAAACTATAGATAGGACCATGTTACCTAATGTTAAAGTTAACCTGTTAGTAGTCGAACAAGACCCTAGGCTCGCTCTGTGATTGGTTGAATTTAAAGGTACTCTAAATGTTGTAATTGGATCCCGCCAAAAGTAACGAATACTCTAGACAATGTGTATGGTCAAACCCGCTGTCAGTGATGTTGGAATAACTATGATTGGATCACTGTTCCCATGTCACAACTTCTGTAACTCCCCCGTCTCAAACCCCATAAAAACCCTACTCTGCCCTTGTTCGAGGCTCTCAGCACAGATCCATTGCGCTGGTGAGGTCTGGGAGCCCGAACTTAAGCCCGTAATAAAGCCCTTTGCCTTTGCATGCGTGACTCGGTCTCCCTGGTGGTCTCCGGTCGGTGAGGATACTGCGATCTGGGTATAACAACTGGAATAACCCCCAGGCTCCTGTTTGCCCTGTGGCCGGTCTCCTGCTGTGGTCTGCTGTGCTGGGAAAGGAGTGAGGCTGATCACGTGGAGCAACTGACACCGACTTGGGAATCCTGAACCTGCCTTATGACGATGTTGCCCTTTCTTTATGACCGGATAAAGGTGACCCCAGGCTCGTGGGTGCGCCTTCGTAGTGTGACAGAGTACCACTTAGCAAGTGAAAAAGGAATGAATTGCTGGTACACACCACACAAGCATAAATCTGGAAATGTTTGGCTTCAGACACCAAAGATGTATCTCATAAGGAAGTTCTGTGAAAGACAAATCTAGGGGCGCCTGGAGGACTCAGCCATTTAAGTATCTGACTTCGGCTCAGGTCACGATCTCTGGGTTCATGGGTTCGAGCTCCGCATAGGGCTCTGTGGTGACAGCTCGGAGCCTGGAACCTGCTTTGGATTCTGTGTCTCCCTCTCACTCGGTCCCTTCCTCACTTGCGCTTGATTTCTCTCTCTCAAAATAAATAAATAAACTTAAAAAAAAAATTTTTTTTAAGACAAATCTAAACCTAATCCGGATGGCAGTAAGCAGGAAGGTGTTCCTGGGTCTGTGAGGGGTGGGGGTAGGGGTGGGGTAGGCTGGAAGGGGGCCACAGGGAATCTGAGGGGAGAATGGAAAAGTCCATTATGGGCGGTGTTTGCCTAGGTAAGGAAACATGTCAAGGCTCACTGTGCACTTACTTATCATCGATTATTATATAGATCCATAAAGTTGGTTTTTGAAAGTTAATTGTATTTCCATTACCTGATGAAAAATCAGTGACGTGGTGTAACTTCTAAAAAGATGCTATTTGCAATAGCAACAAAAAATAGTCAGTAGCTAGGGAAAAGTGTGACGAACAGTGTCCATGGCCTTCACGGGAAAATGTCACCATGCTATGCTGAGACGGTGAACACTACCAAACCGTACGACACGTGGTGATCGTGGGATTCCACGCGACGCTGATCGAAGCCCCAACAGACTTTTCATGCTGACCTTGGCAAGTCTGTAAAATGTATAAGGAAGAACAGAGACTTCCCTGAAGGAGGAAGGCCAGGTGGGAGTGTTTGCCCTGCCAAGCACAAGACACCAGAAAGGTCTAGGAAGAAAGCCAGCGAGGTGCAGTTCGGGGTGCCTTGAGGGGTCCCCGGAACATATAGAGACGTCCAAAGCCGACCCGGGGCCAAGGAAAGCACAATATCTGTCCAAGATCCACTGCTGACCCGTGGAGTTACCCAAATGGGGAAAAAAAGTCGGATTGGGTCATGGTACCCCACCCATAGACATACAGCCCAGATGAACCCAATACTTACCTGTGAAAGAGCAAACTATGGTGTAAAAAAAAAAACAAGGAGAAATCCACAAACAGAAACTAGCAGAACACACCTGATTGCCCACGTTCTCACTTTCCATCAAGAGGCATCGGCCGGGCACAGCAGGGAGGGACCAGCCCGGAAAGCCGTGTGAGGGTACACAGGGACATCGGGGTGACAGCAGTAGGAATCATCTGGGTTGTGCAGCTGGCTAAGCACATGACTCGATCCCAGCTCAGGTCATGATCTCACAGTTCGTGAGTTCGAGCCTCATGTTGCTCTGCGCTGTCAGTGCAGAGCCTGCTTGGGATTCTGTCCCCCTCTCTCTCTGCCCCTCGCCTGCTCCTGCTCACATGCTCTCTCTCTTTCTCAAAATAAGTAAAAAAAATTAATGTTTAAGGAATAAGGATGGAGCTCTCAGCTGCCCTGGGTGGAGAACGGGGATCTGACCACTTGCAAAGGACCTTGCAGTGGACAGACGTGTAAGGGGGGTGGCAGAGCAGGGAAGCCACACGTGTGCAAACCCAGAAGCCAGTGGCAGTGGTGGGAGGTCCGACCGCGAAGCAGGTGGGATGTGAGGTGATCCTCAAGGGCTGGGGCAGACGTGAGAACGAGGAGACATCACAAGGCTCACGGCAGCACCGCAGGGACGGTGGGAGAGCACAGACATCAGAGTGCAGGGAACCCAGGCGTGGGCAGCGTCTGCCAGCCTCCACAGGCCGCCCACGGAGAAAGGGGCGAGGGGCAGGTGGGGAGAGCACATGCACATCACAAGCAGTGACACTGACTCAGGTGCTATGGCTTTGCTGTAAAAATACAGGACTGACTCCTCACACCGCGTGAGAACATCCGCTTAATCTGCTTTCAGTAATGACCTGTCTCAGCTCGGAGATCCTCTGCTTAGAGCCAAAGGGGAGCTCCCCGCAGAGCCAGGAATCAGGAAGCCGATTTTCATAATCATAACCCAGATCGGATGAAACGTGGGCTTTCTGCCCAAAGTGAACTTTCCCTGGGGAATCACAAAGGGCACAGAAATTCACAACACGGAATTAACCATCACAGTGCTTAAAGAGATGAAGAGACCGGATACAGAAACTCTACTCCCAGATGTTTGTCAACAGAGACGATGATGATAGCAGGGAATCTCTGCATAACTCTGAGAGTGGGGTGAGTTCACACCTGAACCCATCTGAAAACAAGCCAAAGTGCGGCCATCAGGTGTCCAGATCTGAGGCGGGAGCTGAGCTGGGCGCCCTCCGTGTCCCAGGACCCCAGCAACTGGACAGCTCACAGATTTTGCGTCCCTAACTCATGACGCTGGAAGTGGGTAAGCGAGACTCTGAGGTTCAGAGAGGTCGAGAAATATTCACAGACACACAGAACTGAACAGCAATGGCCTGTGGGGCTTGGGAGTGAAGCCCAACGTTTTATACTTCAGAGTCTGTTCTGAGTGAGATAAAAATGTGGAAGCCCTGGGGTGGACATGCCTGCACCCCCAATCCCCCTAACCTTCCCAGAAAGAAGCTTTTTATACCTTTTCCGCAAGCACAAAAAGACCATCGGCTATTTCAAGGTTATGACTTCAGACAGTTTCCAAATTATTTTCTCTATACCATGATGTTATATCCAAAAAAAGTAAACACCACTGGTAAATATCGTACCAGATGTGTCCAAACTTATCTGGAAACTTTGCATTCTCTTCCTACAACTGAAAGTTGAAAGATGAAAATCAGGGGCCCTTGCAGGGCTCAGTCAGTTGGGCATCCAACTTCAGCTCAGGTCATGATCTCACAGTTCGTAAGTTCGAGCCCCGCGTCAGGCTCTGTGCTGACAGCTTAGAATCTGGAGCCTGCTTCGGATTCTGTGTCTCCCTCTCTCTCTGTCCCTCCCCTGCTGATGTTCTATCTCTGTCCTCTCTCTCTCAAAAATAAAATAAACATTAAAAATTAAAAAAAAAACAAAGATGAAGATCAGATATTTTAACGTGCTTTACATTCAAGTGTCTTAGATCATTCAACGCCAAGAAGGACTGATGAAACAAAACCCAGATCACTCATGCCTGGGACAGTCAAACTATCAGTCACTTCCCTTCATCTCTGCCTCCATCGAGAGAAGCTTCCAGAACCTTCAGGGCCCTCAAAGTCAAACCCCCTTTATTCTGACTCTTCCCACAGGAAACACATCTGCTCTTTCTCTGTGTGGCCTTCGATGCTATCAGACCCCCCACCCAGGCTGCCACCGGACCCCACACACACTCACATACACACACACACAGAGGCCACCACCGGGGTGGCTAGAGCCACACAAGCAAGTCTGAAGTCACATGTTTAACCCCCAGAAATCAAACTCTTATACACAAATAATGTCTGCTAATCATCAGTCCCTTTGTGGTTCCAAGAACAGCCATGAAGAGAGGAAAGACTCCCTACCCAAACCGCTGTTAGCTGGACACATTACCACGTGAGTCTGCATTTAACAAAACTGGTGTTCCTGGGGCGCCTGGGTGGCTCAGTAGGTTAAGCGTCCGGCTTTGGCTCAGGTCATGATCTCACGTTTTGTGGGTTCAAGCCCCGCGGCGGGCTCTGTGCTGACAGCCAGCTCAGAGCCTGGAGCCTGTTTCAGATTCTGTGTCTCCCTCTCTCTCTGACCCTCCCCTGCTCACGCTGTCTCTCTCTCTGAGAAATAAATAAAACATTAAAATTTTTTTAAAAATAAAAATAAAAAAAAAATAAAAGCCCCATGAATTCTGAAAAGGATGCTTGTGTCTCTCTTACCGAGAATGGTGCTCCGCGGCTCCCACATAGCTCCCGTTTCTGCAGGTCGACCCCGTGTTGCACAGCAGGCCTTGGACAAAGGGGAAAACGCCTCGGCTGGGCAGGTCCCGGGGTTGCAAGAAACCTGAGTGTAGATTCAAGGGAGAAATGCATCCATGTAACAGAATGCCGATTCAGTCAGAAGGGCAGTGTCCGATATGATATTATATTCTTAATCCTGTTATTCAGTTACAGGAGGTCTGAGCACTCAAACAAAAGAGAGGGAGGGGGAGAGAGGAAAGGAAGAAAGCCTTCATGTGGAACTCCTTCCCCCCTCCCCGGGTCTGCACTCACCCTTCAGGGCAGAATGGGCCTGCCAGGCCTTACAGCCGCACAACTGGCCCCCTCCCACTATGCCCTGCGCCCGGAGGGGCCATACGTCCCTTGCACAGCCATGCCTCACACTCAGTCCTCTGTAAACCAGCCACAGGTAACAAGAATAGGCTAGATACTTCTCTCCGCCTCATACAAAGATTTAGCAGTTTTTTAGTTTGGGCAAAATTTTCAACTAAATACAACCTTAGATTCTTAAATGCGTTAGCATAGCTGTTAAAGATCACATAATGCAAAGAAGGCTAGAAAAAACGGACAGGATCGAAGGGTTTTCAGGAAGATTCTGCGGCCACAAAGCTGTGTCTTGATGATCTGTGCCCCGTGCCTGGAGCCCTCTACGTCCCCGATGGACAGAGGGCGATGGCTGAGATGCTGATGACCACAGGCAGCTCGGAAGTTACTGACCTAACATGAGGTAGCTCATAAAACCTTGGGGAAAGGCTCTCCACGCGAGCCTAGTTTGACCTGGGGAATGATCGTACGCTCAGGACGTGGAGACTCGCTCCATCCAGGGCTTGGCATGATGCTCTGCACGCAGAAGACAGTCACTAAAGGTTGGATGAATGAATCAACGAATGAATGAACCAAGGTGTAATGAGCAAATGAATGAAAAATGAACGAAAAATGAAAAAGGCTTTCAAGCCACAGGGGCGAATGGAGTTCTGAGTGAACACGAGACCCGGTGCACGAGGGTAGGAGACCTCCAGTCACACCCCTTCTTCTCAGTCATAAGGAACTCTTTTTAGAGTTGACTGCGCCACCCAGATCATTCCTCTCCTGCACGCCTTTATCCCTACAGTCTCACATGTCAGTCCCCGGTAGCCCTTCCCTAACACGGACTGGCTACCTCTCCTATGGGCTCACGTGGTCCCTCTGCAGAACCCCACCATGACACCTTCCCCACCATACTGAAATAGTCTGGCCCAACAGCAAGCTCTAGAAGGACAGGGAAAATACCTTGCCCACTACTCTATCCTCAGCAAGGGCTTGGACCCAGGGGGGCCTCAATACCTTATTGCCAAAAGAATAAATACGTTAACTATTTTGGAGAGTGACATACTATTTTAGATAAAGTCCATCCCTTAATAATCTTTTATTCATGTAATTCTTCAGAATTAACCACATTATCCATATTTCAAGTGGCATAAATCTGCTAGAAATGAAAGGGGCTATCATTTCTCAGGCAATAATGCTGTTGAGATTTCAAAACAAATGAAAAAGCTTTCTGCTAAAGCTCCTGGAGCAGAGGAAGTTAACCAGTGATGACTTATCAGTGCATCACCATCATCATCCCCATCCCCATCATCCCCATCACCACCATCACCATCATCACCATCACCATGATTATCACCATCATCACCACCACCATCATCACCATCACCATCATCACCACCATCACCATCACCACCACCACCATCATCATCATCACCATCATCACCACCATTATCACCATCACCACCATCATCAACATCATCACTCTCTCGACCAACATCATCACCATCATCGTCACTATCACCACCATGAGAGCTGTCATCACTGTCACCTCATCGTCATCACTACCATCATCACCATCACCATCCCCACCACCATAAACCCCGTTGCCATCGGTATCTTGTTGACAGCCTATTAAGTGTATCTCTCACCTTTTACCTCTTCTACTCTTTATGTATCTATAATAGCATGTAAACCTATGCTCACAAAGGCGGTTTAGTTAGCAGAATAAACCTATCTGCTAGATGGAACAGGTATGTGTGAATATGATTCTTAAGAGAAGAAAAAGGAAACTGATGCTTACTGGCACATACCCCAGAAATACAGCTATTGTGCTATTACAATGAACCTTATCCATTCATTCCACTCAGAATTCTGAGTTTATAAAGAATAGGGAGGGGAAAGAGCTGCATTTTTTCCTCCAGAGGTCTATAACACAAGAAGCATAGCAAAAGTAAAACTTACAGTTGTCTCTGTGTCTGGGAGGCTCCTGAAAACGAAGCACTGTCAGAATCATGAACAGGATGCACGGCCAAAAGAATTCAGCAAGAGAAAGGACCTGCAGAAGATATCAGAAAAAAAAAAAAAAATAGAGTCTGAATAAATTGTAAAGCATTATGATATCCCCCTCTCCTGCAGGGTGGTTCACGGGCCAGCTCTGGCCTCCTTTAAAGGAGGTCCCTGTCAAGGCTTTGGGGGGCTCAGTCAGTCAGGTGTCCAACTCTTGGTTTCAGCTCAGGTCACGATCTTGTGGTTTGTGGGTTCGAGCCCCACATTGACCTCTGTGCTGACAGTGTAGAGCCTGCTAGGGAGTCTGTCTCTGCTCCTCCCCTGCTTGAGCTGTCTGTGTCTCTCTAAAAATAAATAAATTATAATAAGAGAGAAAGAGAAAGGGACACCTGGGCGGCTCAGTTGCTTAAGCCTCTGACTTCAGACTTCAGCTCAGGTCATGATCTCGCAGTCCATGGGTTTGAACCCTGCATCTGGCTCTGTGATGACAGCTCAGAGCCTGGAGCCTGCTTCGGATTCTGTGTCTCCCTCTCTCTCTGCCCCTCTCCCACTCGTACTCCATCTCTCTGTCTCTCTCAAAAATAAATAAAACACTTAAAATTCTTCTGATTAAAAAAAGAAACATCCTCATTTATCACCAGATTATTCTCTCTGTCCTCATTCTTCTATGGTTTTACGGTGGATCAGGTTCTCCTGGAGAGTTCCACTCATATCATTCCACAAAGACAAGAGGTTATAACCACATACCACACAGGCTAGGCACTCAATAACGCATGAACAAAACCTAAAGCTTGCAGGTTAGGGAGGTAAGGGTATGCAGCCTGACACTAAAGAGGGTTATTTCAGACTCCAAGTTATAATGCTTTGAGCTAAAACAAACTTCTCGCCTCTTTGGTTCCTTTGCTCTTTGAACTGCCTGTCACAATTCTTCCCTGTAAGGAAAGAGCATCTAAATGTGGCCACGAGGGTGTGTGTGGCCTGAAGCCATAAAGACAAATCACAGGTGGAAAAGGTTTCGATCCCCACTGCAATTAAAGAAGAAAAGAAACCACTTCTGAAAGAGTTCATGATGTAATATTTCTTGTGCCAGAAAGTGCATCGTTATGGAAAGTTCCCTGACCGACTGTAGAAATCCAATACCGTACATCCTGATAATGGGGCAAATGTCTGCGGGAGGCCAACCTGCACACAAAGGATGGTGATTAAAACAGCAAGGGAGGTCAAGAACACTCAGAAGACCACCAATTCAAGGCATCTAGTTCATTCTCTAGAACAAATAATCATTTCTTGAGGTTTGGGAGTAGGGGTGTGGGGGGGAGAGGTTCCATAACTAATTGTGGCTGAAAATAAATGTGCAAAACAGAAAACGTGCCACAAATTCAGCAATGACTTGATACCGGCAAGAAGAATAGGGGCGCCTGGGTGGCTCAGTCGATTGGGCGGCCGACTTCGGCCCAGGTCATGAGCTCATGGTCTGTGGGTTCCAGTCCCGCGTTGGCTCTGGGCTCTCGGCTTGGAGCCTGGAGCCTGCTTCAGATTTTGTGATTCCCTCTCTCTCTCTCTGCCCCACCCTCACTCAAGCTCTGTCTCTCTCTGTCTCAAAAATAAAATAAACGTTAAAAAAAAGAAGAAGAAGAAGAAATACAGGGGCACCTGGGGGGCTCAGTCATGATCTCACGATTTGTGAGTCGGAGCCCTGAGTGGGGCTCTGTGCTGACAGTGCGGAACCTATTTGCGATTCTCTCCCTCCCTCTCTCTCTCTCTGCCCCTCCCCTGCTCACCAGCTCTCTCTTTCTCAAAATAAATAAATAGACTATGGAAAAAAAAACAAGAAATACATCATTAATTTTCTGTTTTAAAATATTTTAAAATCACATACGACAGTCATTTATTTAGATAGAGAGGTATAAAGCAAACAGAAAATGGTCTATAGACCCAAGACTTGTATAACAACTTTCAATATTATAAATAATTACATATATACATGGTTAGGAAATTCAAAAGGTACAGAAAGAAAACAGCCACTCTCCCAAAGGATAAATTATCTCAACAGCCTTTTTAAAAAAATTTTTATGTTTATTTTATTTTTGAAAGAGAGAAGGAGAGACAGAGCATGAGTGGGGAAAGGGGAGAGACAGGGAGACACAGAATCTGAGGCAGGCTCCAGGCTCTGAGCTGTTAGCACAGAGCCTGACATTGGGCTCGAACCCATGAACCGTGAGATCATGACCTGAGCTGAAGTTGGATACTTAATTGACTGAGCCACCCAGGTGCCCCACAACAGCTTTCTGAATTCATTTTTGGAAATAATTTTTCATATCAGCACTTACAGAACTGCTACCTTGTTTTTATAGGGAACATGATAATCTACCGTGGAATTTAATGTATTCAACCAATCACCTTTCTGTTTGGGGTCATTGCCATCCTGAGTTTTCTGTACACGTTTGGCTGACTTCTGTACGAAGTATCATTGTAAATGAGATCCTTAAGTCAAAGTGTGTATGATTTCTAGTTGTACAAAAGGCACCCAGTAAAAGCCAGCCGAGCCACTATTCCCTTCAAACACAAGCTCCCGAAATTAAGAAACCTTTAGATTTCTGCCAATGTTTTGTCAAAGTGATATGTAGAAAAATTTTATTCTTTAATTATTAGTGTCAAGCATTTTTCATACGTGAAGTATATAATAATTCCTTGTCCACTAACTCCCTATTCTTCCCTGTGTGCCCATTTTTCTATCACCACTATATATACAATACAAAGGCATACAGTCAGACACAAGACATGCGAGGCATTCAATAATGCACGAACAGAAATTAACGCTCTGGGAGGTTAGAAACTTGAGGATACGCAGTTTAACACTAAAGAGGATGTCTTCTGAGGCGCCAGGGTGGCTCAGTCAGTCTGACTCTTGACTTTGGCTCAGGTCATGATCTCACGGTTCATGAGTTCAAGCCCCATGTCACACTCTGCTGACAGCTCAGAGCCTGGAGTCTGCTTCGGAGTCTGTGTATCCCTCTCTCTCTGCCCCTCCCCTGCTCATGCTCTCTCTCTCTCTCAAAAATAAATTTTAAAAAAGCATTTAAAAAACAACTTAAAAGAAAAGAGAGCATCTTACTATTTTAGAACCCATTCTATGTATTTTCTTCTTTCTGTCTGCATTTTTTTTTTACTGGTCTGTAAATCATTGTCTCCTATTTTCTATTTGAATTAAGGAATTCCTTAATTGGTCCTTTGTTGGCTTAAAGTATTTAAGCAAATATTTTCTCCAGTGTCTTATTTGCCTTTTTATTGTCAAAATCTTTGATGCAATCAATTCATCAATCTTTTTATTTATAGCATTTGGATTTTTGTTCCCACACATAATGAATGAATGACCATCATTCAAGGGATCTTATTGTGGCCAAATTAAAACAGGCAGTGGCCGCTGTGAAGCTACAAGAATTTATCTGCTTGGTCCTTACATCAATGGAAAATCTCCAGTTTCAAATGGAAATAACATCGTTAAGAAAATAAAACTCTACATCGTATAATCTAGCAGTTTCTTGAAGATCTTGAACTAAAACAGAGCCCCAGTCAAACTTTAAAAAATAGTATCTCAGAGAGTGCCTGGACAGCTCAGTTGGTTGAGCGTCTGACTCTTGATCTCAGGTCATGCATGATCTCACGGTCTGTGGGTTCGAGCCCTGCATCGGGCTCTGTGCTGACAGCTCAGAGCCTGGAGCCTGCTTCCGATTCTGTGTCTCCCTCTCTCTCTGCCCCTCCCCTCCTTGTGCTCTGTCTGTCTCTCAAAAATAAATGAACATTAGAAAAATAGTATCTTAGTTTTTTATTTACAAGTCAATTAGCAGCTGCTCCAAAAAGCACAGGTAGAAGAAAAATCTTCCACAGTTCCAAATTTGAAATAACTCCGTTGGGAAGAAAGTATCTGCTGTGTCACTGCCCATTGTGAGCAAGTGAATCACCTCCTTTCACCAGACTCCCTCTCCAGAGGCGCACAGAAGCGGCCTGCTCTTTCTCATCATATTTTTGTACCCCGGTGTCTTTCTCACTTGTCCTCATTATCCTGAGTCTGGCCAGACATTTTTTATCCCCCTCCCCCGCTAAATGGGATTGCTTCCCCCATTGCCCACACCGCAGGCCCCCGGGAGAGCCTTCCCTGCACTAGGAAGGGCTGAGAACAGACACCACCCATGCGGTCTGTCCCTATGGCGGCCCAGAGCAGATGCTACACGACCACACTGTGCCCTCAAGAAAATGAATCAACTTGGAGCCCCCGGGGCTCAGTCAGCTGGGCATCCAACTTTGGCTCAGGTCATGATCTCGCAGTTGGTGAGTTTGAGCCCCGTGTCAAGCTTTAGCGCAGAACCTGCTTTGGATCCTCTGCTCCCTTCTCTCTCTGCCCCTTCCCTGCTTGTGCTCTCTCAAAAATAAATAAACATGGTCCCAGGGGGGGGGGGGGGGGGGGGGGAGGCCTCCCACCAGGAGGTGGCAAGAGTGCTCAGTTCTGCACCGCAGATTCCACAGTCCCCCTCCCCCTGACCTCCACGGATGCCCCTCCTTCATTCCTGAAGACACAGCCACACAGTGGCATTAGCAGGGACCGTCACACCACACACACACACACACACACACACACACACACAGAGGTATACATGTAAACGACTCTTGGGTAAAATATTGGAACTTCCTTACGGACTTTATTCTCCCAGACAAAATGAGAGGAGACAAAGAAAAGAAGACAGAGGAGAAAAAGAGCCAACTTGTCTTTATAGAAGACAAAAGCCACAAAAAATGCCAAGAATCGGGTGTCTAGATTAGATGAAGCAAGTTTGATCCCAACTCAGCCCTCCACCTCCAAACCTGTAATTCGGGGACCCTCCCCTGCACCTGCGTCTGTGGGGTGAATGCCCTGAGGGCATCACCTCCCTCCTTCTCCCAGCAGGAGTCAGAGCATGCTGCTCACAGTAAATGAAACACAGAGAAGTGAACAATGAACACAACTCTGTTGGAGAAGCTTCCACGGTTTCACATAATCAGGTGGAAAGAATC